AAAAAAAAAATCGTTCAATTTTAATTACTAGAAGCCGAGATAATTAAGGTCAAAGTTTGCTATTAAATTTGTATCGTTACACTATGATTTTGATGGCGATTGTCATGATTATCACGTGACATAATCGTTAAAGCAATACTTAATTCGCCGACACATATTTACTGACCTTATAAACATTTATTAAGTATTTTTTTTTTATCTTTTTTTTTTGCTATATATTCCTATTAATAGGCTACAGCATAATGGAAATTGGTTTTAATTGGCTATCGATTTTGATCATCAGATCAAACATGATTGGTTAAGTATCATAAATCTATATAGAATTCTTATTTGTAATATACCAACATTTTCGGTTACTTATGTAACAAAAAAATTTTTTTTATTAAATACATTTTTTCGTGCTCTAATGGGTCTTTTAAAACTTTCGGATCAAGTAGAATCAAGTGTGTAAGGGTAGTTGACTTATATATGAAAGAAGGCAGAGTATGAATGCCATAGTGGTTACTTTAACTTCTACAGCTTATAAGAGGTAATAAAACTAGTAAAGCGCACTACATTTTATTTTGTTACCATTTACTTATATTTTCTAATGCATATTGTAAATTTATTACATCACTTTCTTGAACAACTTCCTACTCTTCTATATCTTCCGAATCGTCTGAATCCTGGGATTCTTCAATTCCATCATCTTCAGTAATTGTATCAACTCCTTTTTCAAGTCTTTTCAGGAATAAATTAACATTTTTATATATTCTATTCTTATAGTACTGTTCACAGTGTTGACATCTATATTCCAATTTATAATAATAGTCTTAGTGAAAACTATGACCACAGATTAGGACAGTATCACCATTCTTTTCATTCAATAGATTATGGCAATCGTCACAAAGGCCTTGTAAAGGAGGAATCCCCATACTATAACCTGTAGATAGGAATGTGGTATCAACTTCTTCATTTAAAATAGCAAGCTTGTATATTAAAACTTTTTTCTTTTTTCTAATTTGTTTTCATGAACTATCTGTTATACCATTAACCATCTTCATATGCTGAAATATTTTGTGAAAATGATCTAGCAAGAATATTGATGTCTTATTTGCCAAATACTCTAGATTGGAAGGTGTATATGGATATCTCTTTTTTATGTGAAACATTTCTTTAAATGACGATTTCTTGTTCATATCTATTAATTTATTATTATACTGATTAGATTATTATTATTTTTTATTTTTATTTTATTTTGTTAGGGACTCCACTTATTATGTAAATATAGCCCCTTCAGAATCAATCGTTTGACAATTACAAGTTCTAAAGTAATCAAAATATAAACTTTATACAATTAGTTATTTTAGAGCTTGCAATTGTCAAACAATTGATTACTTTAGAACTTGTAATTGTCAAATGACTGGCTCTGGAGGGGGCTATATTTATATAATAAGTGTGAGTCCCCTTATTTATTTTATTTTATTTTATTTATTTATTTATTGGAGATAATTTTAATTTTTTTTTACCTAACATACAAGCCTGTTTAATAATAGTTTTGACACTATCGCTAGAAGACGTATTTGCTTATATTTTACTATATAAGTTTTCAACAAAATAATCATTGAAATTTACTAAAAACATCTTAATTACTTCTAACATTGGATGTTCTTTTTCTTGCCAATAAAAGATGTCTGACAAGAATACTAAAGGTGTTTTATTGTAGTTTTTTCATTTTCAATGCAATGCGAAGGTCCATATTCAGAAAACCGTTTCAATATATTCATCGAAAGAGCCTAAATGAAAGAGGACTGCATATACATCTAAGGTTGCTGGAATTACATTATCTAGAAGATCAACTAATGTTCTATACTCTACGTATTTACAGATAGTTCCAAATTTTTCTAATATTTTTATTTTTATTTTTATCCATCCTTGGTAAGCAAGTTCTAAAAGAAAATTTATTCTCCACAGTTGTAGTTTTTTTGCAAGAGTCTTTTTGCACTTTCCAAAAACTTCATGAAAAAGCAATTTAAAAAAAGAATAATAGACTTTTAAAACTTGCTTCTGGCTATTCAACGAAACGTGAAGCGGACCTAATATAGATATAAAGGTATTTATGAATAGCGGTATATTTTTATTTTGTTGATGCAAGTTGGTTAATGCCTTTTGTATAAAAAGTTGCCTGGGCCAGTTAGCAACAACAGGCATTATATAATTATTTGCACGTTCAATATTTTTAACTAAAAAAATATTTTTTAGTGCATTTAAATAATCGTTTAGGAAATGAAGCTGGCTCTCTCTAAAATCAACTAATCACACTTCTTCTATAGTTCTTTTTTTTTCCTTTTCTTTTATAGCATCATCATAGCAGTGAATGGTTAAAAGATCAATTTTATCAAAATTAACAAGCCCTATTTCTTGTGAGGTAGTCAACTGATCTTTTCTTTGTGTGTGTGAAAGGTCAAAAATTCTATGATACCGTTTAATTAGGTATAGGCAAATTAAAAGTGCATCGATATTGGCAGAGTTATGGACCGAATTACTATTATAGATTATTGGAACTGGGTACATATTGTGTAAATTCTTTACTTACGCATGTTGCAAAATGAATTGGAGCAGAAAGAGTTACAGTATCGGGACGTCTTATTCCATGTATGTTATAGTAATCATCAATATTGAATACAAAAAAACTGTTTATTTAATATAAAATTTTAATTAATAAATTTAGGATAATTGCATGCTATAGTTACTGGATTTTGGTTAGAAGTAGTTTAGAGGTATAGACGTAATGCTATAACTTGTAATTATATTGAGTTACAGCATTTTTGCCTAACTCAATATAATTACAAGTTATGGCATTACGTTTACATCTCTGGAGTATTATGGCCTAAGTAAAGTATATATAGATTCCTTACAAAATAAATGTGAGAGTACAGAATTACACTTTCATAGGTTGAATTAATCGAACTAGCTTATTTGGAATAAAGTCAGGTAAATTTTTTTTTTTTAAAAAAAAATATATACTTACTTTCTTGGCAAAATATTTTCAGATGTTTTCTGAATGCGCAGCAACAACCTTTTTCCTATAGTTTTCAACAGTTTTGTAACAAACTGTAATACCCACCTTATGCATTGCATCAATTGCATCGCAAGATGCATCTGATGCTACTAAATATAATCCGATTTCTAATAGATAGTCATTTACAAGCCTATTATATATTACCACAATTGAATAGCATATATTAACTACTTTTTTTTTATCTTCTTTTCTATTATAAGATGATCATCTTTCGGGGATAAATACGTCATATAGCTCATTAAAGAATCCTACCAATTGTGGCTCAGCATCTTCAAGCATTTTCTGAAATTGATCCGGATTTAATTCTAGTATGTTATTTTCTTTTCTTTGTTTTTTTGTATAACACTTTAGTCATTAACGTGATCTTTTCACCAAATGATAATAGTTTTTTAACGACTATATTATTTTGCTTATTAATGCTAATTAATAACTTATTATGCCGATCAGGCTTGACAATTTCTAAGTAATGAGGATAGTATAATTGCTTTCCAACTTCTAAGTAATTATATTGATCAAACGTGCCCTTTTCTTTTACTTTTTTTAAAGCATATTCTGTGATTCTGCGATATTGATTTGGTTCTATTTGGCAATTACAAACAGAACAGGGACCAAGATTTTTTTGAGACATTTTTATGGTTTTATTAAATTTTTGATATTGTTTTATTCTCTGAAATATATGAGGCAAATTTGCTTCTACAAGATCTTTTTATATGCTCTTTTATACAAATCATAGTTACTAACGCATTAACTTTCTATTCTCTAGATCTTACCTTTATGCAACTGTGAAACTATTTATCATTAAATTTAATATGCTTTTGAAATTAATGCTATCATAACAAATTATGAATAAAGACCCTATGCATAACGATCATATGTGTAATGATTCTATGTATAACGATCATATGTATAATGATTCTATGCATAACAATTATATACATAACAATTCTATGCATAACGATCATATGCGTAATAATTTGATGTATAATGAAGATACTATAGCAAACGAATATAGGTAGGATATGTAATATAGTAACGATAAATATAACAGATAAATGAATAAACTAAAAAAAACATGCAGGTCATAATCCTTATCCTTGTATAAGATGTAGTATTTCTTTAAGCTAAGCACATGTAACAATATGGGCCAATAAATTTCACACAATTTATATACTGTATTTCGCCTTATAGAGTACCCCTTGTGACAGTACCTCTCGTTGACAGTACCCCCAATATTATAAATTTAAAAAATTTTTATTGGCGCAAACGCAAAAAAATCACAAAAAAAAAAATATATATGCGTACTATATATACAGAGAGTGCAAATTTAAATCTATGTGCACTGCGCCTACTGTGCAGACCCAATTTATATCACTGGTACCTTCTTGATTATACCAGATATATTACCAGGTCTATTACCTGTATATTTGCTAAAAGATCTGGTATACTACTAAGCAGAAATTTATAAATATGACATAAACAAATTGGTTTATAATATAACTTTGCACAAGACCCCGCATAGTATATCTTTGCTATACAGTATATCTGGGGGCATAAATCAAAAACCGGTGTAGATTGTGAGAGGCCCCCCATAGCAATACTTCTTTAGCCAAGGCATGTGATATTAAATTACAATTTTATTGGTCAATTTATTGAGATACATCATATGACAGTTTTCAGTTTGGTGTAACATCTACATGCAGATTACAAATGCTGGCCAATTAAAACCAATTTCCATTATGCTATAGGCTACTCCGAAGATAAGCTACTCTCTATATATGTACTTACCTGTAAAACACCAATTAATAAAATACACAAAGCCATTCAACCACCCAATTATCACCCACCTACCTATAAGAATACCCATTCACAGCATAAAGAAACCTACTTGCAAAGATACTGCTTCATAGAGATATCTCATCCATAAATAAGTTACCTAACTAGATATATTTACTCACTTGTAGAAACATCCAACCATCCAAGTCCCACCTATAGATATCTAACGAATCATCTACCCACCCACCTGTCAAGACACCCAACTATCCACCCACCC